AGGGGGGGGCGGGGAGCCACATTGGTATTGTTGCACTAGGCTTCAATGTAGACTAATGATGTAAATGGTGATGCTCCGATACCAAAACCCCCCCCTGTAAATGGTGATGCTCCGATACCAAAACCCAATACAGGTGCTTTAGTTATGCAAATTAAGTGACTGCCTTTAGTTCATGTGCTTGTTCAGGAGCTTGCGGCAGCCTTCTTGAAAACCCCATGGCGCTTCTGTTTACCGCATTTCTGCCGACCCACACATCTCCCCCTCCTGAGACCCTCCGCTCGAGACATGAAGCCAGCACTCTGGGTCATAGTGTGCTATGTACAGGCAGGACCAGATTGAGCATCATGGGCCTGGTGCTTTTGGATGGGAAGCAGCAGAGGCGGCTCCCTAATTAGGCAGCCTCTGGCTCGAATGCCCACCTAATATACATGAACAGAGAGGCACTAGCGCCTCTGCCTGATTGTGCTCAGCCCGGACCATCCTGGATTGTCATTGGGCATACCGAAGCGAAAATAGGCTCCAGTAGCCCCTATGTTAATCCAGCCCTGTGTACAGGTATGGTGCAGGTACAGGTATGGTGCAGTAAAATCCCACCTGAGCTTTACAGCTACTTCTAGAATTATTGCCTGCAGTTTTTGTCCTGTGTTCTGCATTGCTGTATAATGTATTGCTGAGCTTTGTAGTTTTAATTTTATTGGTATCTTCATTTTGTACATTTACCAGTAGCTGCCTCATTTCCCACCCTCGGCCTATACTAGAGTCAATATTTTTTCCCAGTTCTTCGTGGTAAAATTAGGTATCTCGGCTTATATTCGGGTCGGCTTATACTCGAGTATATACGGTAGGTTGAAAAAAGACACAAGTCGATCGAGTTCAACCTATAGAGATACAGAGAAGAAAAGCCTAAACAGAACGCTATGCCCACAGCTAGCTCCTGTTGATCTAGAGCAGGGGTGGCAACCTCAAATTCATCGGGGGCCGCATCAGCAGTACGGTTACCCTCACAGTGCCGGTTGTATAGGACTATGCATCTACTCTTTATTATAGTAATAGTAATCATGGTGTCCTCAAAGTTCTCCTGTGGACGATACCAGCAGTCTGCAACCCTCCTTTTCAACTGGCATGGAATGAAATGATTCAGTCACAGTCTCTGTACAGAGGAGCTTACACTCTAATGTCCCCCCCACAGTCACACACTATTATTATACATTTATATAGCCCCGACATATACCGCAGTGCTGTACAGAGGAGCTTACACTCTAATGTTCCCCCACAGTCAAAGTCACAGTAAAGATGCTAGCATCAAAAAAGTCAAATTGGATTGATTTGGGCCACAAACTTGAGGCTGTTCCATATGTAAATGAAAAATTCAAGAGCGCTGACTAAATGATGTTTTTTGTTTTTTTAACATGAACACTATGTGAATGTCATTTACTATCCTGTTGTTTTGTGGCCTGCTGCTGGTCACTTCAATAAAAACATGCCTAGAACAGTTTCAAATAAAGATAATTTCTCATATACAAAAAAAAAAAGTCAAATTAAAAAAGAACAAATGATGGAAGAGGACAGGGACACTACAGTGCCTTCCAGGGACTCCCATAGGACTTACACTGTCGCTCTCTGCCTTCAAGGGGACACACCAGGTTTTTCTTCACTCTCCCAGCTGGAAGCAGCGGCGGTTCCACAGAGACGGCGTAAGGGGGCGTGGCCACAATCCCTGCATAGATCGGCCCACTAAGGCCGCTAAGCAAACACGAGGGGGTGGAGCTATGTGGTGTGCTGCGACAAGGCCTCGACAAATGTGGAGATACCGCCCCGTTCCCCGATCACCGCATCTGTCAGATCAGTGGGCAGAAGGAGCGGAGCCGCAGCAGAAGGACGAAAGAGCCGCATGTGGCTCCGGAGCCGCGGGTTGCCGACCCCTGACATAGGGCCATGAGACATGGCAAAATGAGGTGGCTGCTGTGCGGGCCACATTACAAGGTCCGGCGGGCCGGATTCGGCCCGCGGGCCTTGTGTTTGCCACTCCTGATCTAGAGGAAGGCAAACAAACCCTATAAAGCACGGTTCAATTTGCTCCAACAGAGAAAAAAATTCCTTCCTGATCCCATAAGGCAATCGGATATTCCCTGGATCAACAATCTCTGATGCTTAATTTACATATAAGAACTCAATATCCAGTAATATTCTGTGCATTTAAGAATACATCCAGATTTTTTTTTAAACAATTAACTGAGCTAACTAGAACAGTAGTAATCTATAGCCAGTGCCATTCTGCATTGCAGTATAATGCATTGCTGAGATTTGTAGTCCCTCTACTGCTTAGTCAGTGGCAGAACTACCGGGTCGCAGATTCACATGTTTATCCAAAATTCAAATTTTTCTCATTTTAATCTTGGTGGTCATATGAATCTTTGTTGAAAACATTGAACAGACCCTAATATGTACTGGTGGTTATGAAGGAATCGGTGACCTTGAGGTCCTGTTCACACGACGTCCGTTTTGTGTGCTGACCGGCTCCGTACGCTGCTGCACTAAAAATGTGTCTTATGGGCTCCAGTTCTCACGTGCGCAGTCCGTTCAGCTTATGACAGAAAAAATACTGCATGTCACATTTTGTCCTGTCCGCAAACCCGGCAAAAACGCACTGCACCTAACATACTAACAGCCCCACTCCAGCAAAAAAAAGTTTTTTGTTTTTTAACTGGAACGCATCAAAAACGCACTGCATCAGTCTGCAGATCCGCACCTGATGAGGACCTGATATCATGTGAACAGGCCCTTAACTGAAATACAAAATGGGACATTTTTGCACTTGACAATAAGGAGCAAATATATAAACTGGTAAATCTGACATTCTCCTCGCTGGAGGTGAAACTTTTTGGTGCATGTGTTTAAAATAAGTGATTCACCACTGGTGAATGTTTGAAAGTCTTGTTACCTGCTTTATAAAAATGTCCCTATGGCTTTTAATTTCTGTATGAATTTTGAAGCTAAATGGGCTTTAGCATACATTTTAATCAGAGGTTATGGCATGCTTTCTAACGTGTTTTAATTGTAGTTAGTACTGCATGCAGTGCGATCCTCATCATATCCTCCACAAGCGTGGAATCTGTGAATGCGCAAAACATGATGCAGGGTCTAGCAGACACCGTGGCATGTCTTTGCATGTGTGTGTGTGTGGTTGTCACTATCGGACTGCCAGGGATCCAAGACCTGGCAGGCACCACAGTGGTCTCTGTCAGGGACCCAAGACCTGCCAGAGACTGCGGTGGTGCAAGGAGAACTTTGCCTGCAAGGAAAATGACGCTGGACTCCATGGAAAAGTAAGTATGCTTTTTATTCTAAGGCACAATTAGGTGTTTAAACTTATTTTTTTCTAAAATTTGGCTAGACAGCGTGAAGTTCCTCGAAGTTAAATTTTATCCTCCAGCTTCATACAGCATATAGGGATTCTGCCCCAGCAATATTCTATGATGGCTACAATGGAGCCTCATTTTCTTTCTGGAATAATTAATACTGCTATAGATATTTCAGCAGGAGAATTGAGACTTGAGTGCATTGAGTAAAGTATGACTTTACTATTGCAAGGCTGAGCCAGTTCCTCAAGCATGGGTATTGCCCTTTAGCAGAAAAAATTGCCGTCTGGAGACGGCAACCCGCAGGTGCAGCAGTGCCGTCCGTCCGTTTTTTTTACTACGGGCGGACGGCAAGAGGTTAATACAGGCATGTA